GCTGGGGATTTAGCTCAGTGATTCTAGCGCCTGCCGCACAAGCGCAAGGATCCAAGTTCGATCCACGATACCAAAAAAAAAAAAAAAATTAAAAGTGTATTTAAAAGAAGCCAGTCACAAAGGACCATATACTGTATGGATCTGTTTATATGAAATGTTCAAACTGGGAATGGTGGCACACACCTATAATTTCATTCTGGGAGGTTGAGGCAGAAGGATCTCAAGTTTGAGCCTGGGCAAGTTAGTGATCTTGCGAGATCCTGTCTCAAAAGATAAAAACGGGTTGGGGATATAGCTCAGCGTGAAGGCTTTAGGTTTGATCTCCAATACTGGAAATAAAAAGAACAGAAAAGAAAAGTCCAGAAGAGATAAGTCCACAGAGACAGTAAGCAGTCTAGGAGTTGCCAAGGGCTGGTGATGAACAGAGTTAACTAATAAAGAGTTTCCCAAGGACCTGAGTTCAATCCCCAGTACCAAAAAAAAAAAAGTTTCTTAGGGGCGCTGAACATGTTCTAAAATTGATTGTGGTGATGATTGCATCCCTGTGAATATACTAAAAACTAAGTAACTGTACACTTTTTTTTTTGTACTGGAGATTAAACCCAGGGCCTTCACACTGAGCCACATGCCCAGGTCTTTGTTTATTTTTATTTAATCTTTATTAAGTCACTAAATTACCCAGGCTGAGCTTGAACTTGTGATCCTCCCGTCTCAGCCTTCCATACTGCTGGGGTTACAGGTGTGTGCCACCACACCTGGCTTGAAGTGTACACTTTCAATGGGTAGTGAATTGTATGGTATGTGAACCAGCTATTATAGAAAAGAAAAAAGAAAAGAAGAGAGCCAGGTATGGTGGTGCATACCTATAATCCCAACACTCTGGAGGTGGAGGCAGGATTGCAATGAGTTTGAGGCCAGTGTGAACTACATAGCAAGACCTTGTCTCAAGAAAAAGAAAGAAAGAAAGAGAGGGCTGGGGATTTAGCTCAGTGGTTCCGCTGCCTGCCTCGCAAACACAAGGTCCCAAGTTCGATCCCCAGTACCAAAAAAAAAAGAAAGAGAAAGAATGAACAAATGAACACAGAAATGGGTGTCAACCTGAACAGTAGAAGGGCCAAAGTTTGAGTAGCAAAATAAATAACGGTAGTACTGGATTATGACCAATAACCTAGAGAACAAAATAAATATCCAGAAGTCCATATAATTACATAGTTGAATAGACAAATAAATTGGGGAGAAGGGACACATTTCCTTACAGAATTTCAAGTAACAAATGTGTAAGAAGTATGAGAAACAGAAAACAAATTTTTTTTTTTGTATCGGGGATTGAACCTTGCGCTTGTGACACAGAAGCTCTAGGCACAAGTTCCATGCTACAGGTAGAGATGACCAGGAGGTAGGATAGTCAGCCAGTCCTGCTAAATCTCTCCTAAATCTCTAAATATCTCTGGAGCCTTGTGCTCTCCACAGTCCCCCATCTCTTCTCCCATTGGCCTTGGTGGTTCAGTGGGGAGAAGGCTGAGTTTGAGATAGCACCCATGGGTCTCAGGGAGGGGACCCTGACCTCCAGACAGCATCCTGGGGCTGCTCACCCTGACTTAGGGACAAGGAGAAGCTACATATGAAGGGCCTGGGGTGGGGGGGTGGTGACAGAGCTGGCCAGAACTCACACAAGCCCAGGAAGTATTCTCTGTGTCACCTCCAAAATTGGTCACTCATATCTAAATGCAACAGTTGGTGGACTTCCTGCCATGGCTGCAACAGTGCCTGGGCAGATGAGACATCCACAACAAGGCCAGCAGCCAGGACCTTTCCCTGCCTGGCCCAAACTAGCAGGTGATGAAGGGACCTGAGCAAAGATCCTTCCCTCTCCACGTCTCCCACTGTATAACCCTAGACCCTGGCTGAGAGAGGGAAGCACAAACAGCATGGGCCTTGCGTGTGGAGTCCAAAGGGACTATTTGGACATGTCTGGAACTGACCGGGGCTTAGCCTGACTCACCAGCAAGATCTCGATGGCGCCCAGGATGTACATGGCTGCTGCAAATGTTGTTCCCAGGTAGAAGCATAGGCCTACAGCACCTCCAAATTCTGGTCCCAGTGAGCGGGAGATCATGAAGTAGGAGCCACCAGCTACAGCAGGGAAAGTATACAAAGGTCAAGGCTGGTTCTGGTTTTTTGGGGTTTTTTTGGTACCAGAGATCAAACTCGGGACCCTGTGGTTCCGAGGCAGGCGCCGGAACCACTGAGCTAGATCCCCAGCCCTAAGGCTGGTTCTTTAAGGGGGCTCTCTTTCACAAGCCCTCACAACCATGCAGGACAGGGGCTGCTTTTCTCCTTTACAAACCAGGACAGGATCAGTGTCTTGTCTAGATTTTTGCCCCTGCAGCTCAGCACAGGCCTCCCACCAGTTAAGTGTCCATGGGATGCCCTGAATCTGTGCTTCTGTTAGAGTCTGGCATACTCCCCTGTGAGACTAAGAGTCAAAACTGTGCAGAGACAAGGGTGACCCCAGGTTGATGACTGCAACTGCTCTGATAAAACCTCTCTGGTAAAAATCTGGGAACAGGAATGAAGAAACTTGAAAAAGGGTCAATCCCCTTCATCTTGTAATAACACCTCTAGGACTCTCCTAAAGGAAATGTCAGGGACAAGAACAAAGATTAGTGTTCAAGGCTATTCATGATGAACAGTGTCTATAATGGCAAAAGAGCAGAACTCATAGGCCGGAGAATAATCACATAAATTGAATTCTATCCTCCCACTGAGAACCTTGTTTTTAAATAGGTATTTATTCCTGGGCCGGGGATTTAGCTCAGTGATTCTGTCACCTGCCCCGCAAGCGTAAGGACCTGAGTTCGATCCTCAGTACCAAAAAGAAAAGGTATTCCCAACATTTGGGAAATGCATGGACACATACACATATATAGGAATAGCCAGATGTGGTATGCATGCCTATAGTTCTAGCACTCTGCGAGGCTGAGGCAGGAGGACCACAAATTTGAGCCTAGCCTGGATGACTTAGTGACTTAGTGAGACCATCTCAAAATAAAAAAGTTCTGGGCTGGGGATTTAGCTCAGTGGTTTTGCCGCCTGCTGTGCAAGCGTAAGGACGGGAGTTCGATCCCCGGTACCAAAAAAATAAAATAAAATAAAAAAATAAAAAAGTTCTGGGGAGGGCCGGGGATTTAGCTCAGTGGTTCCGGTGCCTGCCTCAAAAGCGCAAGGTCCTGAGTTCGATCCCCGATACCAAAAAAAAAAAAGAAAAGAAAAAAAAAAAGTCCCTAGGACTCTCCTAAAAAAAAAAGCATATGAATCTATATACATGCATATATCTGAGAAAGAGAAATTTTGTGTGTGTGTGTGTGTGTGTATATATATAGTATATATACATACACATGTGCATGTACATATATATTATATACATCTATACATATACATATATTCCCTCCATCTGGCCTGGGGTGGTGCTCACTCACCCACCTGGAACCACACCATTGGTGGCGATGGCACTCATGGAAATGGCTGTCAGCAAAGTCTGTGGGAAGAAGGGCCTGGATGAGCATCTCGTCTGAGTGGGCTCCATGGGGAGACCATGGCCATGCCTAGCACATCTCTGGCCCTATGAATACTTACACAGCAGCAGCAGATGAGCACAATGAGGAGCGCCTGCAGCACCCCGGCCATGCCTACCATCCAGGTTAGCCTCAGGAAGAGGATGACTCCGAAGATATTCTGTAAGCAGGGCAGGTACACCCCCATGAGGGTGCCCATGCTGGGTGCCTGTGTGGGCAGGAGGGGAGGGGGCACAGAGTATCAGAGGGGCCTGGATGCACCACAGAGGGGAGCTCTCGGTCACTCAGCAGCCCTGACCTGCAGTGGGGTGCGCAGGAGGTGGGAACCACAGCTGGGACATCTCTATTGACTCATATAAGAAGACAGTCGGGGCTGAGAAGCTATAAAACCTGATTCATTCTAAAACCCATGTGTCAGCTTTTGAAACTTAACTCCTCGAGATACTACTGCTTCTTTCCCTTACTTTCTTCTGTTACACTTCTAGAGAGAGGGGTCTGGCTCAGATCCCTACCTTCTCACTCAGCAGGTCCCAGGAACTCAAACCAAAGTCCTAGAAGTTGGCCCTGTCCTTCCCCTTCTCCAGTCTCCCCACTCTGGTCCAGATGGACAGAGACCTACCCCGTTTGCCTCCCTGCTACCTTGAAGACGGCCTTGTCCCAGCCATAGAACTTGAAAGTGGGGCAGTACACCACTGGATGGTGCCCTCCCATGCCTGCCAAGCTCCACATTCCAGCTCATTCTGCTGCCAGAGGAGATCCCTTTTTGAACCCAATCTCATCACCTCTTTTGAAATCCCTGAGATGTCCTCTAGTCCAGTGCTGGAGTGTGGTGGACTCCTTGGCTTGCACCACTAGATGTGCTCCATCACCTCCCTTGTCAGCCCCAGTTGTGGACCACAGTGCTCCCTCAGCATCTCTGAACCTGGGCATGTGCTGCAATGGCCCTGCTCACTGCCTGGCAGACTCTCTTCAGTGAGGCCTCCAGGAGGTTTAACTGTTACCTCCCCAAGAAGTTCTCCTGGGTTGGAATTGATACTCTCTTGTACTTTTTCAATATCGCTACACCCTTCTATGACATTGGTCATTATAGGTCACTGTAACGAACGGTTTACTAGTATGTCCCATAACCATACTGGCTCATTTACTGGTTTATCACCAGCAGGCCCTGCAGGTCCTCAAAAGATGTTCCTGAACCCAATGAGTGGTACCTGCATATCATATGGGAAAATCCTTCAGATTGGCTGCGGGCAGGCAAGGAAGGCCTAACACGCAGATTCTGCAGGATTTCTCAAGGCAGTAAAGGCAAGGCAGAGCCAGCCAGGGGGCCAGGGCAGAGACTGTGTGCACAGAGGCAGGGCTGGTACAGCCTAGGGCAGTGGGGCTCTGAGAACATCCAATAGAGGCCCACCCAAGCCTTCTCTGTCCAGAGTCTGGGGTGGGAAGTAAGCTAGGTGCCCACAGGAACTCTCCTGCAGGGTCCAGACCTGGGTCAGGATCTGTGTGCAGCCTAAAGGACGTCAGAAGGGCCTGGGCAAGAACAGATGCTCCCTCACACTGTCCTGCACAGGACAGTGTAGGTGACGTGCGTGATCTGTAGCGCATCTGGGGTGTCTGAGCCCTTCTCAGATACTACCCACTGCATAGTGGCAGTGAGGGTTCCCAGTCCCACCCCCATCCTAGGCTGAGTCACTCTAAGAAAAGGGCAGTGTGGGAAAGGGCAGGGCCGGAAATGCTTTCTGCATCCCCAAATAACCTCTGGCAACCCCAGAAGGTCACCGAGCTGAAGCCAAAGTAGTTGCCAGGGAGAGGCTGCTTTTGGGTCTTGGCATGGTCTAATTGGAGGCCCACCCTTCCTGTTTCAATCTTCTTTTCTGAGGTCCCAGCTCAGAGCAGCCACAGATGAGGCACACAGCTCCCTAGCTTCCTACTGACTCCCTGGAGACTTGACCAGACTCCTCCTTCTTCCATGCAAGAGCCACTGGGGCTGCAACCCATAAGCACCTTCTCACATCCTCACCCTAGAGTCCAGTGAGGAGGGCAGCTAAGCCATGGCTGGATCCCAACACCCTCACAGAGTCCCCATTAGGCCAAGGGACCACAGTCCTGCTGAGATGTGCAATAGCCTTCCTTGGGGGTCTTTTCACCCCAGCCAGCATTTCCCTGACTCAGTCTCAAGAGACAGGCATGATGGGGCTCTTACCCATGAATCCTACCACCCACTACAGGCAAGGAGTTGAGACTTTCTCTTGAAAGGCTGGATAGGCGTGGTCTGAGATAGTCAGGGTTCTGTGCTACCTTTAGTCCAGAACATACCAGCAAAATCATAACTAGTTGGAAAGGATAGGGATTGGGTCTGTGGAACCTCAAGACAGCAGCTGTTCTCTCTAAAGAGTGGGCAGATTTGCCTCCTGGAAAGGCAAGGTGAGGTATGCACTTCACCTTGGTCTGCCCTCTCTGCAGGCAGGGCCCATACCAGCAGGGCCAAGATCTCACAAGTGGGCCTGAGGCTGAGGACCTGATTTATTCCTAACAGGAGTTTCTTTTGCCTGTGCTGACCTGCAAGGAAAACACTACAGCCACAACCAAACTCCAGCTCCTTCCAAACAAACCTGCTCTTCCCAAACCTCAGGTAGGCAGGAGGTAGAGAGGAAGGGTCCCTTGCCTCGCCACCAAAATGTATAGGAAATTTAATGCCCTCAGTTAAAGTGAGGGCCACTACACAGAGGAGCTGAGCAAGGATGCAAAAGTCAGCCTAAAGTCAGAAGAGGGCTGAAGCCAGAGCCAGAAAGTGAGCAGGCGATGGGACAGAGAATCCTCCTAGGAAGTACCAGCCTCTTACCACATGTATGTGTTCCCCTCCCCTGGTGCTCAAGGAACCCAGGGGCTGCTAGAGGACTCTACAAGAGGAACCTTGGGGCAACCCGGGTCAGGGAAGGAGGGTTTGTGACTTGCTGTAGGTTTCATAGCTCCCAGGGACAACCAGGTTTCTGGCTAGCCACCCTGATGTGATGCCAGTGATCTGGCATTTCAGTTACATCTCACAGTCAACACATAAATCTTTTTCCAGTATTATGCACTGATCTCAGACAGGTTACTTAAGGCCCTGCCACTCAGTTTCTTCATCTGAAAGATGAAGATGAGCCAGGTATGGTGGGATATAACTAATTCCAGCACTCGGGAGGCTGAGGCAAGAGGAAGGAGAATTCAAGGCCAGCCTGGACTATACAGTGGAACTCTGTCTAAAACAAAACAAAAGAAAATAAACACTAAAAGGTTAGAGATGTAGCTCAGAAGTGGTAGAATGCTTGCCTACCATGTATGAGGCCCTGGGTTCAGCACTGCCAAAAAAAAAAAAAAAATAAAAAAATAAAAAGAAGAGGTGGGGGAGGAAACACAGAGAGAGAGAAACAGAGAGAGAGAGAGAGAGAGAGGGAGGAGACAGGCAGACAGAGACAGACAGAGACAGAGGCAGACAGGGAGGGAATCCAGGCTTTGTGAGTCAGGAGGCAGGCTTAATAGCTTGGGTGAGCAATGGAAAGCATTTAAAAAAAAAAAAAAAGTGAAGATAATAATAGCATCTACCTCACAACTTTTTGTTTTTGTTTTTGGAGACTGGGTTTTGCTATGTTGTCCTGGCTGATCTCAAACTCCTGGCCTCAAGCCATTCTCCTGCCTAAGCCTCCCCAGCAGCTGGGCCTACAGGCTGGTCTGGCTTCCAGCTCACAGGATGTCTTGTGAGAACCCAAGCCCACTCATAGTATAGTGTCTTACACAGTGTGTGTGGAATGTGATAGGAAGCTCCTCTCACTGTTATTTCTGAGGGCCTCCCTGGCCCTTAGCCCACCCTCTGAAGCCTCACTGAGCACAAGGCTCTCAGTGTTCGTCCTCTCTCTCCATGCCTGGCACCCCCTTCCCTTGGTCTGGTGGGCAAACAGTCACTTCCACGGTGTTCTGGCTCCCCCAGGTGTGGCTCCTCGGTGTTGACCACAACCGGCTCACCTTGGCTGCTCTCCGGCGGGTGCCTTCCCCACTCTCAGCCTCTTCATGCTCCTTGGCACCCTGGGTGAGGTTAGTATAGCTGACGAGTTTGCCCAGAAGTGATGATACCTTTGGGCGGATGTCCAGCTCCTCCTGTAAACAGAGCCACGGGGCAAGATGGCAATGGGCCAGGCTGGTGCCAGGCTACCTGTATGTAGCCAGCAGCCTGGCCCGTGGCCCTGTGCCAAACCCTGAGGCAGGCCTGGACCTGATCCCAGCTCTTGCCTGGGGAAGCCCAGGCCAGCCAAACGGGTAGGTGTGGGGACCACACCCCCGCACGTGCCACTCAAAGGCCCAGCCCAGCAGCTGCTTTTCTCTGCCCCACCTTGGCTGTAATCACTGCCAACCCATTTGTGAAAACTACCCACCTCAAGGGATCGAGGGAACGGCAGGCATGGCTGGCAGGCAGGCAAGCAAATCCCACTTCTTCCTGCCTGCTTTCCTTGGCCACCTCCCAGCTATCACTGGGCCTCTAGGATTCATATCTTGCCCATAAAAAAGCCACCCTAGTTACCTCAGGAAAGCAAGGAAAACAAAAGAGGGACATACAGGACAAGAGGGATTTCTTGTTTGCTCAACCCCAACTTTCCTGGATGGTTTCCCCATAGGCCCTGGATCCCGTGAGTAGCCCCAAAGTGGGATTCTGGTCCCCAGCCTGTCCTGGGGAGAGGGCGGAGATCAAGGGCTTGGTTGCCAAACTTTGCTGCTCTCCCAGGTCAGAGGCCTCCTAAGGCTCAGGATCCTAGACCCCCAGCAGGGCCTGGGCTTTCCCGGCCCCTATGGCCTTCTCAGTGCTAGACCTCCACCTGCCTCTTGCCCACGTTTAGCCTTTTCCTGTTGGTCAGCTCCTTTCTGACCCTAAACATGGTGTGTGTATGTGTGTGGGGGGGGATGAGAAGTGAAGATACAGGTCTTTTTCTTTTTTTGGTACCAGGTATCGAACTCAGGTCCTGGCGCTTGCAAGGCAGGCAGAGGAACCACTGAGCTGAATCCCCAGCCCCGAAGATACAGGTAGGTCTTTAGGAAGATTGAGAAGCCTACACTATTTAGCCATGGGGCAGATGACTATATGGATCTGAGTTTAGGAGCCTAAACCACGTCTTAAATCCAAATCTTAGTTCTCAGCTTGAGTCTGGAAAGGATAAAACTCAAGTTCAGAGGCATAAATTTGGGGAATTTTCTAGAGGTGTCTGTTGAGGTTACAGATATAGAGGGTAGGGGCAGATGCAGGAGGAAGGACCAGGCCTCTATAAACTAGAGGAGGACAGAGCTGGAAGAGTCAACCAGGAAACACAAGGAAGAGTCCTTGGGAGAGAGCCAAACCATGGACAAAAGTCCTCTGAGTGGAGTATAAAGAGGAAATTCTGAGAGGGGTGGTCCCTGTGCTGAGGGGCTGAAAGGAAGGCACAGTCATGGAGATGGCAATGGAGATTGGATTTGAGTGGCCTCTGGCAGAGCAGTTTCACTTTGAAGGACAACAGGAATCAGCCTGGCTGCCAAGGGAGCAGGCAGACGAGGAGACTGGAGGAGGAGCCACCATCCAAACTCCCTGCTTAGATGAGAGGCCCCTGTCAGGCCCTTGCCTGCCCATCTGCCCGCCACACCTGTGGCCCGGAATGGCTCCTCAGCTACCTCAAACAGTGCCAGGTTCCTATCATAGTAGTCACTTCCTCTGGAAGCCTCCAAGGGGCAAAGAAAAGGGCTGTTCTCCCTGTGGTTACCCTGTCCTGTGGAGAAAGAGAGAGAAAATCCCAGTTAGTGGCTGCCTCTTAAATCCTCATCTTGTCTTCTACAACAGAAGGACTAGAATCCCTAAAATATGCTCTCTATAAAACACTCTAGAGCTGGGTGTGTTGGGGCATGGCTGTAATTCCAACACTTGGAAGGCTGAGGCAGGATGATCAGGAGTTTGAAGGCAGTCTGGGGCTGCATAGCAAATTCAAGGCTGGCCAGGATACACAGGAAGACCCTGTCTCAGAAACAGACAAAACTATCACACTCTGCTGGCCCCACGGAACAGCCAGGGATAATCGGAGAAGTCAGTAAGCAAAAGCCAGCACATCTTTCTCTGGTCCATAAGGCACCAATGAGAAAGCCCCAGACACACTAGCACAATCATGCGTCAAGGGGAGTGGCCGGTGGCGGGGGGGGGGGGTGGGGGGTGGCGAGCGGGACCTAGCCTCAGCCTGCCCTCAGGCTTCCCCCAATCCTCCCCTTCCTCAACCCGAGCACCCAGTGTGCCCCGCGCCAGAGGTGCGGTGTCTTTAGGAACCAGATAGATGACACGGCACAGTGAACCTTTGGATGGCATGGCTGGCAGGCGGCCTGCTAGCCTTCCCACCATGCTCCGCACGGGGGTGCCCTGGAGGGCAGCCCCGAGGATGCTGGGAGGCTGGACAATTCGAACACTGTGGAGAGGAAAGTGCAAGGAACTGTCTAGGTCAGGATCATCTATGAGAGCCAGGCCGCCTTGGGTGTTGGATTGAGCAGGGTGGAAAAGTTAGGAGTGTGGCTGCTGGCAGGAGCCACGTGTTGGCTTCCTGGTCTCCAGATCGTAGCAGTTTGCCCCAGAACAGGTGAGAGGCAGATGCCAGCCTCCATCCACAACTCAGGCTAGTGAGATTTTGCCTCAACTCCAAGAAAATCTGAGAGAAAGCGGCTAAGTGCACCTTTTTCTGGTAAACCCATCTCAAAGCTTGGCTTTTTCTGGCCTCCCATCATTCACTTTTCTTTGCTTCCCAACCTTTGTCCCTCGTGTGCCTCACCTTACCAGCTTTCCACCAAGCAAGCAGAAGAGGACAAACACTCTTTCTACTTAATTTTTTTTTTTTGGTACCGGGAATCAAACTCGGGACCTTGCACTTGAGAGGCAGGCAGCGGATCCACTGAGCTAAATCCCTGGCCCAAGCACTCTTTCTAGATGCTGAGTGCCCCTCACCGAAGGGAGCCTGGCAGTTGCAGCCCTGGCTCAAGGTCAGACAGCAATGGGAAGCTGATATTTGAGTTCAAATAAGCCACTTTGGTGTTGAATGGCAGTAGTACGCAGTTTTGAGGGTAGATGGATTGGAGAACAGAAGGGAGTGGTGGCAGAGGCGTCATCACCAACCCAGACTAGTGGTGTAATTGGGCCATGCACTGGCCATGACCACCAATTTTTTGTTTCAATATGCAATTTCTTTCTTATTTGCAGCTGAGAATGTTGACTAATGCATCTTCCTCTATCTGAAACACTCTCTTGCTATTAGCATGTGATTTAACTTGCCCCCTCCAAGCCCATGACCACTTTGTAGGTGCTGCACTATAGATTACCATCAAGACTGACAGGGAAAGTGTGCCCATGACAATTTCTCTGGCAGTCAGCTCCTCCTTCTCTTAGCATGTGAAAGCTGAACATCTGCCTCATCCAGCAACCTGATTAACTAGTGGGCCAAGCAGCTCAGTCCCACATTTGATGATGGCATACTAATCAGTGCCAATGGCATGGTGGACAAAGGCAGCATGAGGCCTACTCAGCCTACCAAGTCATGTCAAAGTTCAGTAGAGTCACATAGCTCCTCAGACACTCTGATATCTTATATTTGCTTATTCAGGATCAGGAGTCTCAAGTCTGAAAACCCAGTAACACTGTCTTTTATATTGATAGCTCTTCAGTGAGAAGCCTCTGAAAATTACTCTTGGATTCTTTGTGACAAAGAAGTGTCTCCCCTAAATAAATCAGATTCTTCATTTTGACAGAAAATGGCAGCTACATGTCTCATTTTACTTCCCTTTCTGCCTTGGCTGCCAGGAATCTCCAGGCTAAATTTACTTAAATATCATCATTTATCTAATCACAGAGTTCTGGTCTCCTGTATTCCTTAGGGAGGCACTTTTATTGCATATTTCTGATCCTTTTGTGGAAATAAGTTGGAAATGAATGATAAATTATTCTAAACTGAGGCACTGCAGCCTGCCCCACCACTGTTACTTTGTCTTGCTGAGGAGTACACACTGGTATCCAGAAAAGGTACAACTGGGCACACAGCAGGTCCTCCAGCTCCAAATGCCTGAAGAAGGTCCTCCAAGACCCAAGTGATACCTTGCCTCTTTAGGCATCACTCCAGGGTGACCTTTCCAAGTGTTACCTCCAGCCAGGCATGGTGGTTCATGCCTGTAATCCCAGCATTTGAGAGCCTGAAACAGGATGATCATAAATTTGAGGCCAGCCTGGGCTACACAGTAAGCTAAAGTCCAGCCTGAATCCCAGAGGGAGATCCTGTCTCGAGAACAAACCAACCATCCAACCAACCAAGAGCTGCTTCTAGTCCTTGCAGCACCATTCCAGTGATCCAGTGTCATTCCAGTGACAAGGAGTGAGGCCCAGAGAGGTTCAGAGGCAAGGCCATACAGTGAGGGGGCCAGATCTAGGTCCAGGGTCCACCAGAGTCAGGTAAGGGCTAAGCTGCAGGTCCCTGTTCCTAGTCCAGACTCCAGTCCATCCAGAATGAACCCCAGAGAGGAGAATAATCCTTTAACTTAGAGAAGAGGTCTAGGGTATACAACTTGGCCAGGGTTTGCATACCCAGCCTCTGGGTGTTCAGATTGTCAGAACCCTGGCTTAGATTCCTAGCTCTTCTGTGTAACCTAGGGTAACTTGCTTACCCTATCTGTGCTGCCTTGTCCACTGTTGCCCTGTCCTGTTATATACAGACAGTGAAACTGATCTTTAAACTGCCCAGGGGCATCAGAAAAGGGACTGTCTATCCCAGACACAGGAGGCACTCCTTGGAGTGTCCCAAAGCCTCATTTTGGGACAGCTCCCATGGGATTGTGGGAATGCAAGAGGGTCTAAGCAGTGGCTCTGTGTTTGTACTGCCCTCAGCTTCAAGCTGCCTGTTCTGCCTTCAGCTATTCCAAAAATTCCAGGGCAGGTCTGGGCACGCCTGCCAGGCCCAAGCTGCTCAGATACCACTTCAGACCCCAGTGAACCTGAGTATGGCGAGCGTCTGCGAAGTTCGAAGTGTGTTCCCACCAGCAACTGTGAAGACATCGGTGACCCTCTTGACCCCCGTGCACAGGAGCATCAGCCTGAGGTGGCCCTGCAGAACTTCCCCATTCCCTGCCAACAGGCTAGCTTGACCCCTCAGAACAGAGGTGGGCCTTGAGCTGAGGGTCTCAGGAGATGGATCTGAAGCTGACTGGTTTTGTGGCCCCCTGAACCTCCATAGTCCCCACCAAGGATCAAAATCACTCACCGGGGTGCAAGGTGTCACCCATCCTGTAGACACAGCCACGGTCTGGTTGAAAAGGAGTTAGAGGAAGGAGGTAGTGGGAGGGGCTGGCCCACTATAGGTGGAGGGATCTGGCAGGTCTCAGCCAATGTGGCTCCAGGTCCCACCAGTCACCCTGTGAGGAGTCAGGGCAGCACCAGAGACTCAGCTCTCTCTGCCCACTGGTCTAGGCTGATCCAAGTCATGCAACCCAGGCCAGCCTCTGGGAACAGAGGGGCTTGGACATCAAGGAAGTTGGCTGCTGCTCTGATACCCTGAACAAGGCTAGGGGCAGACAAGAGCAGGGCAAGGGGCACTCACACAGCTGTCAAGCCTGAAAAACCTCTATGAGGTCCAGCAGCCCGTGTCCGAGCCACTGTCCTGTGGCACATCCACACATGGTCATACCCACACAGCCATCACTAACGTTACACATGCATCTTCTCTGTCAACATCATCTGGATTTGTCACCAATCATCATCATGCTCATCAATGACAACCTGGCAGGAAACTGGCCAAGAGTGCATGCGCTGACCTGAGGGTCCCTTCACCCTGTGATACCCACATCTGCACACCTGCACAGTTACACATGTACACACCACTGCAAAGACACGTGCTTCCAGCGATGTTCACACTACCAGGGTAGGCTCTGGCAAGGTCAGTATTGGGGTGGGGGGAGCCTCCGGGGGGTAGGAGATGGAGAATGGGGAGTGGAGAGAGGAGGAAGACGGGAGGAGGGTCTCACCTCGAGGCCCAGCTCTAACACCTAGGTTAAGAGGTAAGCGGTTCCAATCTCGCCTCTGGGTTTGAATCCCTGGGTGGGTGTGTGTTAGGTAACCCTCCCCGCTTCTCTTCACTGATTCCTAAATTCGAGTTACAGCGCCTGTCCCATGGGGGTGGTTAGGAAGATTAAACGAGTTGATTCAGGTACAGTGCCTAAACAAGCCTGGCCCTGTGGCAGTGCTCCCCACACGCCCGCTGTACCTGCAGATCTGTGCCGGGGCCAACAAAGGTCCCCTCAGCAAGCACATTCGCCTCCTTGCCGGGCCAGAGCAAGGTGACTCAGGGAAGGGAGGGAACCAGAGGGGCCGAGAGGATGGGGGCGGTTCACCAAAGGCGCAGAGGCTTCAGCCGGGTTTCCGCTGTGCTCCAGCAGGCAGGGCCGGAGACCGGGCCTGGGCTCTATCCCGAGCCGAGACGGGCGGCCACGTCTGCAGCCCTCGCCCGCGGCCCGCAGGGGAGGAGCTGGGGAGGGGCGGACGGGCCCGGTACCAGGGCCGAGGAAAACCGAGTCTGCGCGCGCGGAGCCGGGAGTGGCGGCGGCGCAGGGCAGGAAAAGTTGAGCCCGCACCGACATGTGCACGCACGCTGGTCCCGCCAGGAGGAGCGGAAGGGCGCGGGCCCCGCGTGGTCGCCCCGCAGTCCCGCCAGGGCCCCCGCCGGGCGCGCCCTCACCGTCCAACTCTTCCCGCTCGGCGTGCTCCCCGTAGTCCACCCAACTGAGCCCCTCGAGGTTGTCATAGTCGCCGCGTCGCGGCCCGTCCACCGGCACCACGGTGAAGTGAGGCATCGCGCGCGCTCGGCTCCCCACGCCCGCCGTCCCGGCCGCTGCCCGCCCTCCCCGCCACCCCGGCCGGTGCGCCCCGCCCGCTCGCATTCCTCCCCACTGCGCTCACTTCCTCCGCCCGCCCCCCGGGCCGCCTCTCCGGGGCGGGACGCAGGAGGGGCTCGGGTCGGCTCCTCCCCAAGGGGGGCCCCCCCGCTGGCGAGAGGACTTGGGGTGGGAGTACTCCCCCTGGGGGACGTCCCGATTCCTGTGTGACTTTGGGTGAGGGGCTGTCCTCTCGCATCTCCAGGTGCGGTACCTGTAGGAGGAGGGGGCTTTCAAGTTTGGGGGCTAAGGGCCGGGTGAGATGGGGAGCGCCTTGCACTGGTTCTACGGCCTGGGACTGCTCGGTGGCATTTCTGTTACTGAACAGTAAGGATAGGCGGGACCGGCCCAGGACCGCAGAGGCCACTTAGTCCCCATCTTCTCTGCCTCCCGTGTCTTGGCAACCCTGGAAACTGACCCTGGTGCAGGCGGATGGCGATTGTGGGCTCTACTCCGGCTGCTGTCTCCTCTTTAGTGGGGTGGGGTGAAGGTGGGTGGGTGTGTTACCCAACTGGCCGGTCGGGACCGGTTTTCCTGTTTGGGGCGGCACACTGGGTGATTAGTCAAGTTCTTTTATTTCAACTTTTTTACTCTCACCCCCTGGGTCCCTTTACCCAAATCATTTACTCACTTGCTGCCTTTTTTCACTTTCTACCCCATTGCTTCGGATGACTTATCCATTGTGCTTTATGGCTTTACTTTAGCATCTTTATCTTTCTGGGCTGTCCTTTCAGCTTTTTTCTTCTTTCTATCAGAAAACCCCAGGGCCCATCTTAACTTGTCTATCTTCACTCTCTTCCTTTTAGGGTTCAGACGGTTTTAGAATATCGACTGGCTTCAGGCTCCTCTGTTTGTTTGTTTGATTGATTGATTGATTGATTGATTGATTGAGACAGGGTCTGGCTCTGTAATTCAGGCTGGCCTTGAACTCACTGTGTAGGCCAGGTTGGCCTTGAACTTTCGGCGATCCTCCTGCCTCAGCCTCCTGAGTGCTGGAATTACAGGTGTGCACCACCATGCCCAGCTCCAGACTGGTTTATAATACTAATAAAGATGAACATGGCAGGAACACTCACTCTGTCAGATATCAAAACTTATTTTAAAGTTGCCATAATTAAGATATGGTATTGATACAATGAACAAATAGTACAACTATGTGTAACAGAATTAGAAAATAATGTGCAAGACCCTGGGTTCAATCCCTAACAATGTAAAAAAATAAAAATAAATATGGATCCTTGATTTATCAGATAGGTGCACTAAAGTCCTTTTTTCATTTGCATTATTGGGGATTGAACCCAGGGCTTTTACACTGAGATATATCTCCAAACCTTTTAAAATTTTTTTATTTTGAGATGAGGTCTCATTAAGTTGCTAAATTGCCCGGGCTGGACTTGAATTTGTGATCCTCCTGCCTCAGCCTCCCAGGGTGCTGGGATTATAGGCATATGTGCTACTACACTGTGCTTCTTTCAACTTTAAGATCCCATAGAAGGCACTAAGACCTGGCTCTGCCCCAGTTAGAGGAGAAAGTGACCAAAGAAAGGAGATCTGTGTGGGCCAATCTGACAGTAATAGTTTCCATTTTCTTCCCAGTTTTTTTTTTTTCTTTTTAAGACATGGTGACCTCCCTCCCTATTTAAAAGTCAGTTTGACAATTTTATTTTTATTTATTGGTTCTAGGGTTGAAGCCAGGACCTTGTGCATTATTGTTGGTTACAATTATTTGAACTATTTATTGATTGTATCAACCCCAATTTTTTTTTAAAAATTGATTTTCATGGAGCTTGGGGGGGGTAGCTCAGTGATAGTGTGTGTGCTTGGCATGTATGAGGTTCAGTCTCCAGCACCTGCCCCCAATAAATAATTTCAGAGGGCCTTATCTGTAAAAGCTAGAAATCTTACAAATAATTTCTCCCAATAATTCCAAATAACTTCCTGTCTACTGTATAAATACTATTGGCTTCTTAAACAAAATTAACCTTTTCCTGTTGTTGGCCGTGCTGGGGATCAAGTCCAGGGTACTATCTATGCTAGGCAAGTGTTCTACAACTAAGCTCTAGACCCAGCTCCTAACGTTTTCTTTTTTTTTTTTTTCCCTGTTCTAGGGATTGAACTCAGGGCCTCTTGAACACTAGATCAGCACTCTACCACTGAGCTTACACCCCCCTCAGCTCTTTAAAAATTCTTATTTTGAGATAGGGTCTTCCTAAATTGCCCAGGTTGGGCTCTAATTTTCTATCCTCCTGCCCTGGCTTCCCAAGTAGCTGGGATTACACCTGTGCACCACCACACCCATCTCAAATTTAACTTTTCAGAGGAAGACTGAAAGCCACCCATGGTCACAGTCCAGGATGAGATTGACACTGAACTCCATTCCTTCTGTAGCTCTGGGGGCTCAGGCTTTCAGTGTAGGAATCTGGTGAAGCATGTAATCCCAGCACTCTGGGAGGCTGAGGCAGGAGGATCAAAAGTAAAAGCCCAGTTTGGGCAAAGAAGAAGAGGAGGAAGAGGAATAAGAGGAAGAGGAATAAAAGGGAGAGGAGCAGGAGGAAGGGAACGAAGAGGAAGGGGAGGAGGGAGAAGGAAAAGAGAGATAGTGGAGGGGGAGGGGGAGAAGCAGCAGCAGCAGAAGAGAATCTGATGAGCTTCCTCTGCCTTTCCTGAATGCCAAGGCTGAAGGTGAGCAGCTGGGGCTGGGGGCCAAGACCCCTCACCAAACAAGACCCTAACTAACCCCACTCCCACCATGAAGGAGGAAGGACACTCACACTTGGCTCCATGTCTCAAATGTTTATTTTCAACATAGGCTGGGGGCTGGGCCACTAGAAGGGGGACTTTGTGGAACTTTGCCACGGTGGCCTCTTTGGGGATTGACCAGGTCACCAGGAACAGAGGATGAAGACTGGGAGGGTGGCAGCAACCATGATGCTTGGAACAGCACCTGGGGAGCTTTTTGAGGGGCTCTGCAAGACCTGATTGGTTGGCTGGGTCATCCCCTGGTGTTTATTCTGAGGCAGAGGCAGGAGGTGTGGGTGGCAGAACTTTCTCGGCTGCCTGTCTGGAAACTCAGCTTCCACAGGGCTCAGTCCACTGCTTTCTTCTCTCACCTGTGGGTGGGTGGGAGGCAGCAGTTAGATGTCCCTCTAGCAGCCTCCCCTACTGTTCAAACCACTGAAGCAACCATCCTTTTGCTGCCCAGCCCAGCGTACCTGCTCCACTCGCCTGAAGACCCGCAGCAGGTTTCCTCGAAGCACACCTTGAAGCTCCTCCTCACTCCAGCCCCGACTCAGCAGCTCCTCTATCAGCACAGGGTATGTGGACACATCCTCCAGCCCCTCAGGGAACCTGTGTGGCCATCTATTGGCTTGGCCCCGATCCTGGTCTAGGGCCTGCTGGTCCACCAGCCCTAGTCATGTATGACTAAAACTGAAGGCCAAGTGCTTCAGGCTAGGGGATGCGACTTTAGAAATGCTTTGAGGACTGGGCTTCTGTATCACTGGCAGCTGAGCAGATGATCTGATGGGTTGGGAATGGGGTCTAAGCTTGGCTTCCTTCAGGAGGGGAATACTTAGCAAGTGTGACCACTTGGGTCTACTGGGCCACTCAAAGGATAGGAAGAGCCTTGGAAATAGGCCCTGGAAGTGGGGAGATGTCAGGTGGGCTGAACACCAGAGCCTGTGGTCAAGGCCTGAACGATGGGAGGACCCCAGGATGAGGATCTAAGACTAAAGGACTCCCTGCTGTACCCCAGCCCAAGACATGGCCAGGGAAAGCACTCACCGGCCAGATGCGTCATAATTTCCACCAATCCCAATGAACTCTGATCCAATGACTGTCCTTATGTGGTCAAAGTGATCTAGAAGATGGAAGTTGGTTGTGAGTAGCAAGCACAAGGCTGTAGTTAGACCCTGGGACCTGTAGTTAGGCCCTGGTTTGAGGAAGCTCAGCTCTGGCCAATTTCCCTGCCCATAGGACTTCAGGCCATGGCAGCTGCCACAGAGCTCATGGCCAGATACAAATCCTGAAGTGGTTATAGCTCTGGGCCTAAAGAGGACCTCAGAGCCACCCCTTTGAAACTTTTCCTGCCTCTGGGCTCTGCCTGTCCTGTCCAGAGGTATGGGGAATGACAGGTCATTTTGGACTGACAGCAAGAATAAGACTCAGAGGTAGAGATATCAAACTCATCAGTACCTACTGTGGCCTAAGACCTGGGTGGCAGTGGAGAGCTGGGTTGGTGGGAGGTCTGCTACTCCCTAACATGCACTAGGCTGCTGGGGCTCTCCTGAAGGCCTGGCACCCTCAGCCCAAGCCAGAGCTGCACAGAGAGCTGAGGTGGAGCTTACCTGCCACAGTGGACACGTTAGCAAACAGGTTGCAGTGCACCACCCCAATGGACAGGGTCACCATCACGATGCCACCATTATTCTTCTAGAAGAATAGACAAAGGGATATTCAGCTCAGCCCCTCTGGCCTGACGGTGTCCCTCTCATGTTGTGGATGACACTCTGTCTTGGCTTCAGGTGTTGGAAGAGGCCTTCTTCTTTCTGGGTTTGTGGGTCCCTGGGTGAAACTGATTTGGCCATAAGTATCAGAGGTGGAGGACGAGTAGCCAGCCTTGGGCCCAAGGGTGTGTGAGTCTGAGGGCAACGATTTTCTGTGTTCAGGCTCAAGACTCTTAAACTGAAGCAGGCCTAGCCCTGGGTGTGAGGGCTGGGGTGAGTGCTTACCAGAAGCCACAGGATGTCATCAGGAACATTCAGGTAACTGTCACACACACCCCTGGCAGCTGAGTGGGAGAAGATCACAGGAGCCCGAGACACATTCAGTGTCTGCTTCACTAAGTTGTCTGAGGCATGGGACAAGTCTATCATTATGCCTAGGCGGTTCATTTCCTGTACCACTTTCTGCAGGGACAATTAATGTTTGAGAGGAAGCGGGTATCAGGGCACACAGATGTGTGCACATTATCTGTAGGGAACAAGTGGGGTATAGAACAGGAGTCCTTACCTCACCAAAGCTTGTCAACCCGCTGATGTTGGTGTAGGAGTCGTATATTAATTTGGTGGAACTCTCTGCCCTGCAGGACAACCACAGAGGTGCAATTAGCTGGTCACACCTTGATTCTCAGAGCCTAGGGAGCTCTGTCTGTCCATCCATTGCACCTCCAGAACAGGTGAGGACCAAGGCCCAGCAACTTTCTGGGAGTGTAAGAGACTGGCTGGGAGTCCATTCCCTCTGTGGACAGCTTTATCCTCACTTCTGGCCAGGCCCATTCCAGAGGTGGGGCAGTTTCCCCACCATGCTGCCTTCACTTCCCCCTGGTAGGCACTGTGCTCACCAGGGTGTGCTGCAGGTGAAGGTGAGCGCCAGGTAGCGCACTCCCAGCAGATAGAAACTGCGCAGCACAGAGAGGCTGCTGTCCAGTGAGTGACCACCCTCCACACCAATGAGGCAGGCCAGCTTTTGAGTGCTATTCAGACCTAGAAAAGGGTGCAGAGTCAAGTTTCAGAATCCAGGGAAAAACCACTGCAATGAGCTCAGACTGGCGTGCCCCCCCCCCCCATTTGCCAGTCCACCTTCAGCTGAGGTCACCAGCTCCAGCTCAGAGTAGGAAGCACACATGCGCCGGATGAGGTCAATCTGCTCCAGGGTGAGGCGCACAGCATCCTGGTCCTGGGTGTTGCATGGGACATAGGCCGACCAGAACTATGGGTGGTTCGGGGGTCCAGAATGAGGCCAAGGTGGTCTCCAACCCCCTAGGCCTTCCAATCCTGCCTCAGCTCCTACAGCAAAGCACTGCATGATCCCATGGTCCCATAAAGACTAGTTTGCTGCCAAACTGTAGATTCAGGACACATCATAGACTGCTGTTTGTCTGTGTGCGATGGGAACGCCCCCGGCCAGATACCACATCCTCTGTGGTTCGAGCAACTCCCACACTCACCACTGTTTTTCTGGTATCTTCCTTACTTGTCTCCACTGAACCTGGGCACCCATGGAGCTTGCCTGTCTTGCCCTCCGAGGCCCCCAACACCCAAAACCTATATGATGCTCCCCAACACCTATATGATGGCACACTGAATGCCCCATGTACCCAGTCACCTGGAGGCTGGCCTAGCCAGCTTCTGTGGCCCCAACATTCCCCAGCATCCATGTTTCTGGTACCTGGGCACCCACAAGACCATCCCTAAGCCTATCCAGGCTGGTCTGGCTGTGGCTGAAATTGCGCAGATTCACATCCTGCAGCCTGTTCTGGAAACGCTGCTTCAGGATCAGAGGCAGGTTGTTGTGGCTGAGGGTGTCAAGAAGATATTAGAGTAGGGATATGGCCTCCACATCAGGCAGGACAGGCCACATGCCTATGCCTACCCTCCCCCACCCACCAAAGATGTTGTCACACACAAAAGGGGGAGTTGGGGCCGTGTTCACCAGCAATGGGGTAATTGTGGGAGGGCACCCACAGAGGAGAGAGGGCATCCAAGGGTGCTGGGAAAAGGCCTCCTCACAAGCTCTGCATACTCAGAACCTCCCGTGGGCCAGGCGTGGTGGCACAAGCCTGTAATTCCAGCACTGAGGAGGCTGAGGCAGGATTGCTGTGAGTTTGAGGCCAGCCTTGGCTACATACTGAGTTCAAGGGCAGCCTGAACTACAAGGGAGACCTTGTCTCAAAAAAAACAAAGCAGGGGCCGGGGATTTAGCTCAGTGGTTTGGCCGCCTGCCTTGCAAGCGCAAGGACCCGAGTTTGATCCCCGGTACCAAAAAAACACCCCCCCCCCAAAACAAAGCAAACCAAACCTCCCCCAGCCAGGAGCAAGCTCATCCCCTTCCACAGCTACGCACCCATCCACTAGCGGGAAGTCACGCATCAAGGCCCTCGCACGACCTTGCAGGCCAAGCGTGGTCGGGGTGCCCGGTATGGTCGGGGAGCCAGGAGTGCCTCCAGTGGTGGGAGCACTGGGGATGCCCGATGACGTCTGGGTGGTGGGGGTGTCCGGCGAGATCTGGGTGTGGATTACCGGCTGCAGCAGCAGGAGTAGAAGCAGGAAAAGCGGACACATCAGAGGCCGCGGGCAGAGCACAAGGGTACCGTCGAGGCCTTCGGGCTGCATGTTACTCGGGCAGGCGGGGTGACGTCACAAGAGCCTGAAAGGGGCAGGCCGTGGGCACGGGTTGACGATAGGGTCCTGACGGTTGATTCAGTTGACCTAGGGCACCGCCTGGCTTGGAAAGTTTTGCATTCGCGCCGCTGATACCGTCGCGCGGGGATCCTTCACGCTGCGCAGTGTAACCGCCAGAGGGCACCACGGCCCTTAAAGTCCTCAGCTAGGAGGGCGCCCCCATCGGCCTGGCGGTGTCGCGTGGTGGGCTCCCTCCGCTCCTACCCTTCTCCTTGCACGTGCCTCTGCTCCTGACTTCGCGTGCCACGGTGCCAGGAGGCCAGTCAGGTAGGGGTAGGAATGCAAGAATCTTCCTGATCTCATGCATTAGCCAGGCCCTAGTGGGGTTTAGCTACCCGGATGTGCCCTGCCCCCAAACGATCAAATAATCCATTAAATCCAAAACGCTGATTTGGAAGAGTGAATTCTTATTCTCTCTCTCTCTCTCTCTCTCTCTCTCTCTCTCTCTCCCTCCCTACATATGCATGTATGTGTATGTATCCATCTATATTCTTTAATTTATTTTTTATTTTTATTTATTTATTTATTTTTAAAAATTTTTAAAAATATTCTTTTAAATCTAGATCTGTACTTTTTTTTGGAGACAGGGTCTCGCTATGTAGTTCAGGCTGACCTTAAACTCACTATGTAGCCCAGGCTGGCCTCGAACTCACAGCACTCCTCCTGCTTCTGGAGAGCTGGGATTACAGGTGTGTGCCATCATGCCCGGTGTAGATCTGTATGTTTTGACTGACCAAAAAAAATTCTCTATAGGTTGTGAAAATGAATATGTAATTTAAGGCTGGCGTGGGGGTTACATCTGTAATCACAGTGAAGTAGGAGGTACAGCAAGGACAAGTAAACAAGAGAAAGCTGGACAAGTTGGCCAGCAGCCCAGGAAAAGGACAGCTGTGTTGTCCTGGAGGAGGTCCTCCAAATCATAAAGTGGTGGGACAAGGTCAGGTTAGGGCCCTTGGTACTGAGCAAAAGAGGAGGACAAAAATCCTTAAGAAAAAAAAGAGAGGGTTTCTAGGCTGGCTAGCAGCCTGCATAATATAATTTCTCCATTTCTTGTTGGAAAAGCCCTGGTGCAGGGGAAAGCAACCTCAGAACTGTGTCTGGGTGGCATTTGAGCCTCCTGGATCTGGACCAGGTTGTGCCAAGCTAAGAAGGGCTAAAAATTCAAACTAAATCTGAATTGTTCCCCTTTCTGCAGTTATCTGTGTCCTTTTTTTTTTTTTTTTTGGTACCAGGGATCGAATTCAGGACCTTAAGCTTGCCAGGGAGGCACTGTGCTGCTGAACTAAATCCCCAGCCCTGTGTCCTCTTTTCTACATGGGCTCCCTAAAAAGTACACCTCCCCCTTTCAGACATCTTGAGAAGGGCCTTCGCCTTTTCTGAACATTGCTTTCTGTCCCTCTCTGGGCCTTTTTTGTGCCGTGGGGTTAATGACCAAGTCTAACCCAGCTGCCTCCAGCTTCAGCTTTTCTTGGGAGGCCAGATATTTTTCTGGTCTATCACACAGTGGCTCTAGAGATCTTCATTTAAGTGACTTTGAACAACATAATGAATGACAACTTTGCTAATAGTTTATCAAAACTACAAAAGCAGCCAGATGTGGCAGTCCCTGCCTGTAATCCCAGCTACTGAAGAGGCTGAGGCAGGAGGATGGCAAGTTTGAGGCCAGCCTGGGAAATTTAGCAAACTCTTTGAAAATAAAAAATAAAAAGGGCCAAGGATGTACCTCGGTGGTAGAGCACTCCTGGATGAAATCCCCAGTACTGAAAAAAAAAACAAGTTCAAAAGCATTGTATATAAAACTGTTTCCCATATTAGACTTAGGTGAAGGGAAGAGCATAATATTTACAACTAATTGTTAAAATGTTATGAAATTAATATACAAACAAAGTTTGAAATGTCTGGTTATGCTAGCTGGGCATGGTGGCACATGCCTATAATCCCAGCCCTCTGGGAAACTGAGGCAAGGGGATCACAGGTTTGAGCTCAGCTTGGGAAATTTAGCAATTTAGAGAGACATTGTCTCAGAATTGAAAAAAAAAAAAAAAGACTGAGGATGTAGCTCAATGTGAAGGCCGTAGGTCTAATCGTGAATACCACCTCCACCAAATTCTGGTTGTAGTTGGCTAGGTACATTCCTGCTGATAAAAAGTTTGGCAATATAGGTGTGGGGTATATAGCTCAGTAGTAGGTGCTTACCTAAAGTGCCTGAGGCCCTCCCTAATGTGCCTGGGCCCTGGCTTCAACCCGTAGCACCACCAAACAAACAAACAAAAAACCCCAACAAAAGACAAAACCTCTTGATCCTATCAGAGCATAAGCAAGATATTGAAGAGGGCTGGTGTATAGTAGAAGAGTTGATTTTTTCTTTTTTTTTTTGGTACCAGGGATCAAACTCTGGTCCTTGCACTTGCAAGGCAGGCGGCCGAATCACTGAGCTAAATCCCGGGCCCTGTATTTTCTGTTTTTAATTTTTAACTTTTTTTGGTACCAGGAGTCGAACTCAGGGCCTCACCCTTGTCAGGCAGGTGCTGTGCCGCTGAGCTACAGTCCCCAGCCCAGCTCAATGTTTAACTTTTTTATTTTGTTATGGAGGATCGAACTCAGGGATCTCAAGCTTGCAAGACAAGCACGGTGCCACTGAGCTAAATCCCTGGTCTGATTTTTAACTTTTTTATTTTTTATTTTAATTTTATTTATTTATTTTTGGTACTGGGGATCAAACTTGGGTCCTTGTGCTTGCACAGCAGGTGCTGAAACCACTGAGCTAAATCCCTGGTCTGATTTTTAACTTTTTTATTTTTTATTTTAATTTTATTTATTTATTTTTGGTACTGGGGATCAAACTTGGGTCCTTGTGCTTGCACAGCAGGTGCTGAAACCACTGAGCTAAATCCCTGGCCCAGCCCAGCCCGATTTTTAACTTTTTAAATGTAGTGTTGGGGCTTGAAGCCAGAGCCTCATGTAAGCCAGGCAAGCGCTCTCTGAGGTATATTCCCTGCCTCCTTAATATATTTTTATTTTTTAAGACAAATTTCTACATAGTCCAAACTGGTCTCAAATTTGCTATTTAGCCTTGGCAGCCTTTGAACTCTAGAGTCTCCTGCCCCAGCCTCAGTTCTGGGATTACAAGTATGTGCCACCATGCCTAGTTTTAATGCATTTTTTAATGGTTAAAATTTGTAGAACATTAAAAAAAATTTATTTTTTGGTACTGGGGATTGAACTCGGGTCCTTGTGCTTGTGAGGCAGGCGGCGGAACAACTGAACTAAATCCCTGGCCCTAAAATTTGTTTTAAAAAATTAAAGAACTGTAAAGCAGACATATTAAAGCCTACTTTTAGGCGTTCCATTTTACATTTACAAATTCCACTTATTTTCAAATCAGAACTTGTAATTTTACTTTCCTCACTTCAATGGAAGAAAACTCATCAACAGTCTTTTCAAAACCTACTTCTTTGCTTATTTCATTTTTGTTTTGTTTTGTTTTGTTAAAACAGGTCTCACTATGTAGTTCAGGCTGGCCTTGAACTCGCTATGTGGCCCCAGGCAGGCCTTGAACTTGCAGTGATCCTTCTGTCTCAGCCTCACTAGTGTTGAGATTACAAGTGTGCGCCACAATGCCCAGCTATGTCATTTTCTATTGATAGATTATATGTATGACAATTTCTCTTGATCAGTTGATCATCTTTTTTTTTTTTTTTTCAGACTGAGGATGGAACCCAGGCATGTGCTACTACAGAGATACATCCACAGTCCTTATAATTTTTGGAGACAGGTCTTGTTAAGTTGCCCAAGTGGGACTCCAATTTGTGAGCCTCCTGCCTCACCCTCCCTCAGTTCTGGGATTACAGGTATGCCCCATTGTTCCTGGCTCCAAGTGGTGATCATTTCTTTTTCTTTCTTTATTTTTTTGAGAGAGGGTCTTACTATGTAGTTCAGATGGATCTTGAATGCACTGTGTATCCCAGACTGGTCTTGAACTCTTGGTGATCCTCCTGCCTCAGCTTCCTGAGTGCTGGAATTACAGACTTGTGTCACCATGCCTGGCATTCCAAGTACTGTAGGGATCTTAAGTAATTTTTAATTTTATTTTTTTGTTGGTGCTGGGGATGGAACCAAAGGCCTTGTGAATGCTAAGCTAGCACTCTACCACTGAGCTGCATTTCCAACCCCTTAATTATTTTAAAATAATTTCCATTTACTGAAACTTCTTTTAAAGAATGCCAATGTAACTGGTATAGTTAAAAATTTTCTCAAGGCCATTTCCAAATTTGGATAAGATTCTACAAAACAAAATTCATGAATCAAGGGCAGGGGATTTAGCTCAGTGGTTCTGCCACCTGCCTCGAAAGCACAAGGACCCAAGTTCGATCCCCGTACCAAAAAACAAACAAACAAACAAAAATTCATGAATCAAGTTTAGAAGATCTAAACACATGATAGGTGCTGTGGTGTACATCTGTAATCTTTGAGGTCCGAGAGGCTGAGGAAGGAGGCAAGTTCAAGCCCCGCCTGAGCAATTAAACCACTGCAAGACACTGTCTCAAAAATAAATAAATAAGGGGCCAGGGATTTAGCTCAGTGGTTCTGCTGCCTGCCTCACAAGTGCAAGGTCCCAAGTTGGATCCCTGGTACCAAAAAAAAAAAAATACTGTCGCAAAATAAAAAGGGCTGGGGATATAGCTCAATGCAAAGGCACTGGGTTCATTCCCCAGTACTGCCGGAAAAAAAAATTCAAACACAATTTTATAGTATAAAAATTGATACTGTGTGTTTAATTAAAGCTATTTCAGATGATATTTCCATAAGACCTAAAATTTCAGAAAATTTAAGAGCCAAGTCAGTGGCTGCTTTTGACAAACTAGCTGTATTCAAAAAATTTCTTTTGTCAGGTTAACAATTCAAAATCTGAATACACTTTGTTTTAATAAACATATCTCTATTTTAAATATGAAGTTAGAGGTGGTTGTAGTAGTGCACATTTGTAATCCTAGCACTCAGGAGGCTGAGGCAGGAGGATCACTGTGAGTTCGAGGCCAGCCTGGGCTACATAGTGTGTTGAAGGCCAGCCTGAACTATATAGTGAGATCCTGTTGCAAAAAACAAAACAAAATGAAATTAATAATTTTAATTTCTATTTGATATGTGCTTTTCAAGAACTATTTTAGGGCTGGGGATTTAGCTCAGTGGTTCCAGCACCTGCCTCACAAGACTAAGGTCCCTAGTTCAATCCCTGGTACCAAAAAAAAAAAAAAGCCGGAAGA